GACACACACACACACACACACACGCACGCACGCACGCACACACACACACACACACACACATTATTGTATTATTCATTTTTAAATTTACATTCATTTACTTAACAAAATATAATAAATTTACCATTGTACATTTTTCTGAGAAGATCATACATGTTACGTGGTGGTAAGACTGTTTGACGATCAAGTGGCATCACAAAACAACATTGCCCATCAATGTCAATGATACCAGTTTTATTCTATAAAAGAAAGAAAATCAGTTGTCAAATCAAAATAACATTATCAAGTTTTGTTTGTAAAAATATTTTATATGTTAAATATTCCAACGTACAATGTTAAAATCGTGTATAAATCGACCTTGGCGCCCACCACGAAAATCCGGCACATCAATTTTCTCATACTGTTCATTCTCCAAGTCAATCTCAAATCGTTCCTTGAAGAAGCTTTTGAGATTATCTACATTCTTTGCAATATCAGTAGCTTCCTGTTCTGTAGCTCTCCTCAAACCTTTTACAATTAAACCAGAGTCAACATTTTTCATAATATCCATAGCTTCTTGTTCTGTAGCTCTTCTCAAACCTTGTATGATCAAATCAGAATCCGCCACCAAGCCTTGATGTACTGCGTCCTTGGCGTATGGAGTTTTGCTCGACTTGTCATAAGGAATGCTGTACCATCCAGTTTTAAATCTATGCATCTGCGTTCTAGCATACTGCCTGTATATGTATAATCCACCAATGACTCCAATTATGAGGATCATCAATGCAACAAGGAACAGTAAAAATGTTGCAGTCACATGAATGCGATATATGCTCCTCCGGGAAACAAAATAATGGCCTCCCACGTCAGATTTCAAGCATTGTGCCTCAGCATCCCGTTTACCATTTTCCTGTTTAGATAATTGTATTTAGTTGTTGAGTGCTACATATATTTCGTGAGTTTTAACGAAAAGAATGTTAAAAGGAAAGATATTACTTGATGTTCGATGATTAAACAGAGGAGGTAACAATTTTCTAGAAATGAATTTCGTCTATATCAAACTAATTTAATGCAATTCCATCGCTGTATCATCGCTTATCAACGATAATGATGAATAGGAACTATCAAACGTCATAAAATGTGATACAACAGCACCGCGCAAATGACAGAAAGAAAAAGATTATATTTACACATACGAATAAAATTATAGAACTGACGAAAATTAGTAGAACTGACGGAGAACAACAAATAATTCGATAACATAAATAATGAAAAATTGAATATTCTATTTACGAAGAGAACAAGCGAAATCTAAAATTCCCGCAACTATTTTTTTTTTTTTTTCATTTCTTATCGTTAACGACGATCAAAATATCACTAATGTCAGAGTTTGATAAATATCAAAATGGTGCTAACCGCTGTGTTCTCTTCGATAAACAACGGTAGTTCCTTCTTCTCGGTAATGGCCTTTGTGATGATCGTCATCTTGATTAATGTTTTGATCTCAGCACTCCCTTGAATATCTTTCGCACGAAATTTGATTTCGTGCGTCCGATCGTACAGTCGAAGCAAATAATCACCACACTCTGGCAAATATCTATCGAAAGTATCACAACGTAAGTATCACACTACACCCGCAAAATTTCAGGATGAACTACACACACATAAAAGCAGCCGAGATTGATCGGTGACAACCGCGCCCTCAATGTACTAATAAATACGATCTGCGCATGCGTCGACCCCGAGTGAAAGTCGACCGCTTCTCAATGTGTACATGTATTTTATATGCGTGCGTCTTGTATATATTTTGACTCATATGATATACACTATGTATATATATACCATTTAGCGTACATTATGTACACAACATAAAATCGTAATATTATTTCATATTTTTTTTATACAGTTAGTATTAATCGTATTTCTGGTCATATCATGCAAAAATTATGGATAAAATCCAGTGTGCCCTTAAGGATGCTGAATCGAAAGATAAAGAAGACCTAGAGAATAATCCGATTAGAAAGGAAGAAATAATCGATAAATGCACGGAACTTGATCACGACAAATTAGTAAAACTAACTAAAGAAACAATTTATAATATAATTGAGAATGATCCGTTGCTTTTTGGTCTGCCGGCGGATGTTACTATCGAGGAACTCAAAGCTCAAATCGCAGTTGCACAAGGACAAGCGATTACTTTATATCTGAATCGTGGTGAATTACCAAAACTTGGAATTGTGGTAAAACATTTTTCCAATACATTTTATATTCTTTTAAACGTAGATATTTTGTTGTATTATTCATTTCACATATATTAATAATTTAATATGTATTTAATAATTGAGATGTACAGATTTAATAATTGATATAAAATTACAAAAATAATCTTCAAAAAATTTTCAAGTTTTAAACTGATTCTTTGATTTTAGGTATCTCCTCATAATACTACAGTCTTGGATCTCAAGAAAGCCATAAAACGTCATACAACTTTATCTTTAAAGAGAGAGAAAGTTAAGAAAAAAATAAGCTGGAGGCATGTTTGGAAAAAGTATCATCTATGTTTCGGGAATGTTAGATTGATAAATGACAATGAAAATATAAAAGCTTATGGAATCACAAATAAAGCGGAATTACATTATGTAAAACGACGCAGGGAGAAAAATAAACTGATGAAACACTCTTAGTCATAAATACTTTATTTTTGTATCATATAATGATTTATATTTCACAAAATAAGTTATATTATGATTATAAATTAGACATCTTGTACATATTATTTGTCAGGTAAACTTTTGTATTTTGGTTGCTGAACTTGACAAGTTAGAAACGGATTGACTTCTTCCAACATGAAACAAGTTAAATCAAATGCTGCAGTTTGGTGATAGTTTGTTACAATTAATTTTTTTAAATTAGGCATTCTATATAGTGCTTCCAGTCCTCTTTCTGTTATGTTTTTACACTCTGACACATCAAGCTGTTCTAAATTTGGATATTCTGCAGATATTTTATCCAAAAACCAGTCATTAATTGTCTCACAACCTCTGAAGCTTAAAGTTTTTAAGTAATAAAGATTAAAAATGAAATAGAGATGTTCGTATCGTATAGGATATTCATTTAGATCTAGTTCCTCCAACACATAGCGTTCATCATACTCTTCTGGCAATTTTAAAATCTTATCTCTTTTAGTTCTATGCAGCCACTCATCATTATCCTTAAATCTAATTTTACCACCACATTCTAAAACAAATTTAGCTGCTGCCAAATCTGGACCTAAGGTGACAAACTTTTTATATCGTTCTGCTTCAATGTATTCCTGATAGTTTTCTTTCTGACGTTTCCACCAATGTTGTAAACGCAGTGAACAAAAATCGTAGATGGTAGGTGCTTCTTTCTTCACAAACATTCCTTGTGGTGGGCCATAAGAAAATTTACCGTAACTTTCTGATTTTATGTCAACGTTAACGTGTCGTTTGCGTAAATACTGTGTGAAATATATAATAGCTTCATAATTATCGTAGAACGAATTTGTTATTTTAATCTTCAACGATCTATAAACAGTTCCATGTTCAAAAATTTGTTTGAATATCATACGAGTGAAACGTTGGCGTAACATTTTTATTATGCAATTCCATATAACACTGTATGTATAGTTCCTCTCTTTCCGCAAATGGATGTCATGGATTCACTAACTTTATTTAAAATATATATAATTTATAGAACGATTCATATAATAACGGTACATACTTTATTAAATTTTCAATCGTTTAATGCTACACACTATTAGGCACGTGCACATGAGATACATATGTGTTGTCAATATAGTATTCCAGTTTGCCGCCATAATTTAAATTACTATGATTTTAAAAATCATCTCAGAACATAGAGAAATTTCTCTTAGATCTATTATTTAACACAGTTTTATATATATATATATACACACACATAAAAATAAGAAGTAATATTACAAACGATCAGTATCCTTGTTTAAAATTGAAAATTATTTCAATTATTAATTGTAATAACTAGTTATATAGTACTGAAAATTTTTATAGTTTTGTTATTATTGCTGTATGATGTAATATTAATATAATATAATAGATTTGATGTTTTTAAGAAATTATGAGTTTACTCGTAAATTGAATAGTACGAAAATAATATTACGTTTGTTAATAACAAACTATTAACACTTTATAATAACACTAATACTAGTAATTAAAAGTACTTTAACAAAAAATATTTCAAATGTTTCAAATAGTTCATAAGGTATAATTATTTTATCCTAATTTCTCGCATGAAATGAAAATTTCATGAAAACGTGAATTGATATTAAGTAAGAAAATTATACTTAAATTAACGAAAAGTTATAAAATACATTTCATAAAACACATTTTGAATTTTATTGCAATTATTTCTGACAAACTAAAAGTTATTTAAAATTGACATGTCAAACATTTGAATGAATGTGCATTGTACAACAGTCGGCAGTAATCAGTTTACATTCTGCGGCAGTATCACTAGATATTTTATCGGTGTTACTAATAAAATTACAATACGTCTTATAACTCATATTTTACGCCGATATTTTTATGTGCAGAAACGTATAAGATAAAAAAGAGATATAATTGACAAAATATAAATTATAAAGTATATAAAATTTTACTTATGATAATGTATTATTATTGAAAATTATTTAATATTCAGTATTATTTATCCTCTATTAATCTATTAATCGTGTTTTAATTAAAGGGACTAATTATTTTTGGATTATTATAATAGTTGTTTGCTGGCGTGTAATTCATTAAAAGTGTGGCAAAAATGATGGAAGATATGCAAGAAGAGGTTAGTTTTTTTTCTTTTTGAAATCAAATATATTTATTTTTTAGAATTGTTGGATTATATATAATCAATTGTGTGAATTTACATTTCAGTACTTTTTTATGTATTTATTTATTAGTGATTTTTATTTTAATGACAAAGGTTACTAATAGGTTATTTTATAATTGATTTAATTGCCTAATATTTTTACACAGTTTAGTTTATATTTTATTGTTTCAGACCCAATTTGTGGTCGATGATGTAAGCAAAATTATTAAGGAAGCAATTGAAGTATCCATTGGTGGAAATGCTTATCAACATAACAAAGTTAATCAATGGACATCAAACGTTGTCGAAGGATGCTTGGGAAATCTTACAAAACTTCAAAAACCTTATAAATATATAGGTATATATTCTTATAGCCCATAAGAATTCATTTTTTATTGAACTAAAAAACCTATTCCAGTGACTTGTACTATAATGCAAAAGAATGGAGCAGGATTGCATACTGCAAGCTCATGCTATTGGGATAATGCCACTGATGGTAGTTGTACAGTTCGTTGGGAGAACAAGACAATGTATTGTATTGTTTCTGTATTTGGTCTAGCAATTTAATTGGTCTTAATTAAATTTATCAAGCTTCATATACATACACTAAAATCTCAAGCAAAAATAAAATTTCGTTTAACAAATTGCAAAAATTATAATAATTATGGTGCAGGAAATATAAAATCTATTTTACACAATAGCTTTTTTCTTTTAGCAATATCATGTATTTTTTATATTACAAATACATTGCATTTTAGATACTAATTATTGTATTTATTAACTGAAATATTTTTTTGTATGTATATATATATATATATGTGTATTTATGTATTATAATTAGGAAATATCAAAAGCATTTGATTTATTATTTTGTAACTTTTATATAAACGGTACTATTTATTATTTACATTTATGTTGTACACAAAAATTATTACTGTATTTGTATTCGCACTTTACAGTACTTAACGACACATTTCACATAACAATTTAACTATGAAGTTATGTGATGTAGGTTAAAGTGCAAAATATATGAATATTTTTTGAAAACGAATGTAAAGTAACTGTAAATGTTGATTTATTGATATTGTATTCCAAGTAAATTGGAACTTTATAACTACGTAATATTGCTTGTATTTTTTAAAAGTAATAAATTATTGGTTGGTAATTATTATTCTATACTATTCTATACTATTCTATACTATTCTATAGATTTGATATTACGGATAAGAAATCCTCGTCAATTAAATCTTGATGTAACAAAACCATATTTATGTTCAAACTATCACCAAATTCATCGTCTATGTATAAATCTTCGACGGTATTTTCTCGAACATCCTGTAACAATCGAAGTAAAGGTTTGTTATTTATTGTCTTTTTATTAAGTATTTCTACTTATATAAATAACACTTTTATATTTACTTATATAAATAATATTTTTATATTTTCAAGTAGTCACTAAATAATTAATTGTGTATAGATTCAAAGCAAATGTAGCAAACGTATACACAATGCTTACCTTTTTGCGTATAGGTAACTTCCCTAAATTCGAGTTGTTAGTTATTCTCAATTGGCTTAGTGCTGCTGGCAAAGATCGCCGCCTTGGTAGCGTGCTGTGATGACACGTTCTGCAGTTTTTATTCTTTGTACTATCGTTCATAAACATGAAATCAAAAGTCGCAACAGACTTTTGTTTATCCTCCTTAATTTCTGTTTCAGTGTCGCCATCGTTTTTCTTAACAGATGCTTCAGAGTTTAGTGTACTTTCTGACGTTGTAGCATTTTCTTGCGTACTGATTACTTCATTGTTCGAAGATTTAGTCTTTTTTTCTTTTGCATCATTCTGCGAAATGTTCAATTCATCTGACAGCTCGGCGATTGATTCGCAAATAAAATTTCTGCTACTTGTTGCGTTGTACGAATGACTGTAATTTTCAACGATATTATTACTAGACTCTTGCGTTTTATCATTATCTACATTAGGCTTATCAAACAAGAACGTTTCATCTTTCCCCAATGAATATTGTTCAATAATTTTAATTTCGTCGTCGTCGTTAACTTGTAAATCGTATAGATTTTCGAAAAGCCGCTTCCTGTCTTGATTATCGTCCATCGTTACCTCAAAATCCTGATAGGAGTATTTGAATGGAGAAGATGGATCAGAATCGTTACTATTTGGAGAAATGGAGCGTACAATTTTTGTAGCTCGGTCCAGAGCATCCTTTAAAATTTGCAAGGGCTCACTTTGAGGACTGGTCGGCGTTGTTGACTCGTTCGTATTTTCGAGCACTTGCGTATATTCTTCCCGACTGGTTTCTACAGACATTTCAATGGTTTTATCATAAATGTTAAAGATAACAAAATGTTATAAAGTTTAGAGCATTACAATATAATAATAATTACTCTAAACTAATTTGTTTTATGCTGACGCGAAAAGGCTAGAAAAATACTTTATATTTATTTATATTATAATAATTTATTACCTTTCGGGTTTTTCTTTATGACATAAGTACTGTCGCTATTTATAGAAGTTGATCCTGTTGTTTGATCAGTCATAACATCAACATACACAGATTCGCTGTCGTTTGACTGTGGTGCAAGAAAGTGTGGCTGTAATTGTAAAGTACATGTTTAATCATAAAGATGGTTTTAAGGATGGTTATTAAGAATAAAGTAATGTGAAGTCTTACAGACTCGTCGGCACATGTTTTTCTCATTTTAGACAAGCAAATTAATTTCTCCTTCCTCCACAATGATGTTTCGAAAAAGGTTCGAGGATCGGAATTTAACACTCGTGGTTGCATTACTGCGTTCTTAATTCCTTCAGGGGCATGTAAATAGGGAGCCTGTAATAAATTAGAATGCAACGAGATTTAATATTGTTCATTAAAGAACAATCTAATAGGACTTGGAATGTTTACCTTATGGCATCGCTGAAATGTTGATTTTAAGTAAGTCGGATCATACGGATTGGGAGATTTACTGTATTTTGGTTCTAAGCTAGTTTTGTGACTAGCTGGTTTATGTGGTTCGTAATCTTTACTTCTTGTTTCAGTAAACAATCTACTGGTCGGGCCTGATTTAAAAATATTAAAGAATTACATGAATATATTCTGTTAACTGTTATCCACATTTGTTAATTTATCTTTTTAATTTTTCCAATTATGGAAAGGTATCGTAGTTTCTCAACCACTGTGTTACGCTTAAAATGATTTTTTTTCAAAATACTTATTAAGTAATAAAAATAAAAAAAGAAACGTATATGTACTTATATCTGTGGACGTGCATGACGAATCACTGCCGTAGAAGAAATGTTCTCTTTTGTCCGCCAAAATCTTTTTCAGCTGTTTTAAATTAGTTCTTGCATCTTTGAAGGATTCGTCGTCCGTGGTCGATTCTAACAATGGCGACGAGTAAACCGAAGTTGTCCTGGACTCTGTCATATCCTGCGGCGCTTTGACCTTTTTGTAGGTATTGCTCCACGGTTGTGAATTCTCTTGCGCATTAGATTCTTCATTCTGAGTGTCTAAGGCTTCTGTTTTAAATGCTGGATAGTTGATCTTCTTACAGTTATTTTGTAAATTGTTGTAAATGCTTTTCTTCTGTATGTCGTTCCTGATGTTGCCTTTAATGTCATCAGTGAAGAAATTTATTTCCTCGACGTCGACTGTCACCTTTTGATTTATATTTTGTTTCGACATTGACTTCTTTGAATACAAATGTCTCGGCGGGGAGTCCGGACTTATCGCAAACTGAGGTAACTGCTTGGCTGAGACGCTTTTGGTAAGTTTCGAACTTTTATTTTTCAACATAGGAGATTTCTTCGTTTGCAAGATATAGGTGCTCCCGATTTCGTTATTATTATTCATGTACTGGTCGATGTAAATTGGTCCCTCGTTCTCATATTGTATCTATTATGTTATTGGACATTGTGTACTTAGTATAGAGTT